GTGCCAGGTGACCTCAAGAGTCACTCATCCACCACATACTAGTAATAAACATTTAATTTAAATTTCTTTCAACTGTATATATTATTAAAATTATTTTAAAAAATTAAAGATATACAGTGGATGATTGGTTAACGAACACTTTCGCAAAAGATTTTTATGTTCGGACAACAAACACATGATAAGATAACAAACACCCCACAGAACAAACACAGAAGAAGCGATGTAAAATAATGAATATCGATTGGTCTTCCCTTGTCTTCGAGCAACAATTTGAAACTTTTCGGAGTGTGGGAGTTGTCGACATCAACACTCAACCAGATATATACCGATCAGATAGTATTCCTCTGAACTTTGAAACTCTCCCTTGTAATTCCAGCCTTTTATTTTTCTGAAAAAACAATTCTTTTATGTATTCGCGAGACTGTTGGGTACGCACTCATTAAGTTTTGCGTGGGATTATATTTTCGAAAGGTGAGAATATAATAGCAAAGGTAGAGAGTGGGCAGAAGATACCTAATGTTGCTGGGCAGTATGGCGTGAACAGGTCTACAGTAAGCCGCAGTTCAATCTTATTTAAGAAAAATACTGTATAATCAAGGAGACTCAAGCAGCTAAAGGAATAACAAAAATCACATCTGAGAAATAAAGAACATCGAAGAGTTCATAATGGAACCTGAAACGGATCTGACGACAGAAGAACGCCAAGAAACTCGGCGAAATATGTTTTTTTCTGAAAAAGAGGATTAATGCCAATATCTGTTATTAAAGATCCTTTGAAGAAGTGGGAGGATGTCAGAACAACAGTTTTAGAATGGCATCCAAACCAGGCTGAGGCTTGGGGATTTCTACAATTGCAATGCTATTAATTACTTCCGAAAAATCCTGAAGAAGAGAGAAAAGCAATTGACATTAAACAGATTCTTTAACCCTTTCAAATGGAAAAAACGTGACTAATAAAAATGCAAGACTGTGTATGTATGTATTTTTATTATTGCATATAAATAAATAAATAAATAAATAGTAAGAAAGTTTTATTTTTGGGGGTCTCCAGGACGAATTAATTACAGTAAATTCCCATTAAAACCTATGGTAAATTGATAATCGGTTAATGAACAATTCAGATAGCGAACAAAGTCTTGGAATGGATTATGTTTGTTAACTGATCACCCACTGTATATAAAAATGGAGAAAACTTGGCACTATATTGAGGTCAAAATTAAATAGTTAAGAAAATTTATATATATTATCTTCTTTAACTAAAGATGTTTTCAGCCATTATTAAGGCGAACTTCAGCTTACACATACTTTATATTAAACAATATGGAATAGAAAAAATTTGAAATAAAGAATAATGACAGAACTGTTGATAAATAAATAAACAATTATAAGTGTTAAAATAATATAAGGTGTTAAATAAGGATATAAAAAAGATGTAGAGAACAAAACTATTTTATTTTATTTGTAAAATAAAACATAAATCTCTTAATATGATTCAACAAAACAAAAAATACCATAATTATTTGAATAATGCATTTTAAAATACTATTAAAAGAGAATCCAAAAAATACATATACATATTTGTATTTTTGATTTTAATAAAATTATTATTTTAACACTCTTAAAGTATAATGTTTTATTTACATAGTAATTTACTTAACATTTAACTATCATCTACCAAAGGTGAAGTAGACAATATACAGTAGACTCTCCCATATTCACACTAATCAAAGGCAACCAAAAATTTTCAAAAGTATTGTACACTATTCCAATTTTTCTGCATCATATTTTTGGAACTGTGCTTGCCTGTCTGATGTGTTTATAAAGAATCTCCTACATTTACTCCTGCTGATGTGATAATGATGAGGCATTGGTGTGATATAGCAGTCAGTGAATTGAGAAAAGAACAAAACAAACAACTTTAACACAATATTTTCAAAATTAACTGTAACTGTCAAAAATAAGTGCCAAGTCAAAATAAATATTTTTTATACATACAGTAAGCATGTAAGTTACAATCTTATTTAAAAAATACCATACTCTCTTATCTAGATTTTTCTCATATCAGCCATGGATCACTTTCACCCACATTAGTTTGGATATGAGTCTACTGTAATCAGGGATGATCCTATTATAGTGTTCTCTATTTTGTATGATATTTATATAGTACTTCATTTCTTGAATCATTCCTTACTTTTTCTTTTTTCATTTTTATTATTTTTCTTTTGTAGAGAATTGGTTATTATAGATAATAGATAGAATTGGCTATTATATATAGGGCACAGCCCTATATATATAATAGCCAATTCTATCTATTAAACTGCAGTATTTACAAATGGATGATTACATATGTAGTGATTATATTCTATTTAAATTGAAATTACAGGAGTAATAATGAATCACTTCTCTGTATGAAGAAAAACCAAAAAGATGAAGTTAATAGTCTATTCTCATTTCTACTTTCCTCTTGAATAGTTACACATAAAAATTTTTTTATAATTTTGGTTATATGTTTTTGATCTTCCTTGTAACTAGAGATAAGATGACCAATTGATGTTTGAATGTGATTGAAAATTATTGATAAATTATGTAAATTATCTTTTAGTGTTTCATTGATTTCTTGATAAAAAAAAACCTTCTGTAATATGCTTCGTCTAGTCTTGTATTGAATTTTATGAGCTCTATGACAGCTTTTCTTTTCCACTAGGACTTATTACACCATCAATTAGAAACAGGACAATCTTTAGAAAATCACATTTTTATTTCCTAGAGTATGCATTTCAGACTTCGAGTCCCTTTTCAACTCTTTGTGATATAAATGGTTATGAGAAGCACAGAAATGCTGATGATTGATAACATACAGATGATAATTATTAATTTACAGGTGTTTGAGTAGGTATGACAGTACGATACATAATCAGGACAATCTTTAGAAAATATGATTTTTGTGAGGCCCTGGAAATAGCCCCCCCAAAAAGAAAGATATGTAAAAATTTGTTAAGTTAAATCGTCAAGAAAACAAATCATATAAGTGTTAAACCGCGACACCAGACTTTGACATCGATGTTCATCAAAAGTAGACAGAAAAACAAAATTTTAGATATAGAAAATGAAGAAAATTTAAAATATTGAAAGTTAAGACACAGTTTAGAAAGCAAAACAAAACTAAAAAAATATCAAAATGAGTGTAGGTGTCATAGTCAATGATTAAATGCAATCAGAGTCTAAAAAATGGTGTCGGATAAACCATCTCCAGTCAACCTTTCCCTTGAACTATACGAAGCTCCATTTACACCTGGAGACAGGTGGAAGACCAATTAGAAAGCAATGAGGTAAAGTTTGTCCAATTAGCAACAAGTTGATCTTGAAAAACTTATAAAAACACCAATTTCAAGGACAAAAGAGGCTTCCACTAGACTACCTCTTGTGTTTGTTTGCCTCCAGCTGTAGTGCTTCCTTTCATCTTTCATGACTTCGAACTTTTTACTCAACACTGTCCAGGGGACCTACAACACTGGACCAGATCACCTCCAAAAACCCCTACAATGCAGGACTAGATCGCATCTGAAACTCCAGCATAGGACCAGATCGAATCCGAAAACAACTTCCAAAGACAACCCAAAGATCTGAACTTAAGGACATTTGTCAAAAAAATATGTAAGCATTTTCGACCAAAATAAACGGTTTCTCTGTGAAACACTTGTTTTTGCTGCCTCCTCAAAACCGCCACCCACATACGCATAGACCTTAGACCATCCCGACGGTAGGGAATAAAATCTCCCCCAATCGATGTTCTTACATTTTCTAAAGATTGTCCTGTTTCTAATTGATGGTATAATAAGTCTTGCAGAAAAGAAAAGCCGTCATAGAGCTCATAAAATTAAAAAAAAAAACCTTTCTTTAAAAAAATATAAAAAAATTTTTAGATAACTTAATTTAGCCAGAATTTGATTTGTAAGTATATAACAAATGAATGCATACTATAATTGGTGAGAAATATATATATATATATATATATATTAAAAACAAAAATCAAATCTGAATGTATAATTGGAAGTAATGAAAACATAATAAATCATTAAAATAGATTTAGTGAATCTACTAATAATTCATAATTCAACCAAATGTTTGCAAAAAGAGTACTGAATCCTAAAAGAACAATTTCTCAGATAATACAAATTATCAACTCAAGCAGCCTTATCTCTCCAAGAAAGATGACTATTTAAAAAATGATTTAATAAATTTTCAGAAAAAAAAAGGTTTTAAAATTTCGTAATCATCTTTTTCCTCTAATACAGAAGATATTATTTTTCTTTCCTTTTTCAGTTAAAATTTATGTCTTTTTCATGTTTTTCCAAATGCTTGAAGTCTTTTAAACTATCAAAGTTAGTTAGAATTCACTGTTTTTTTTTTAAATATAACTGTTTAATAAATTTTCAGAAAAAAAAAAACTTTCTATGTTAATAAATTACCTAAATGTGCAATGAATTTGGAATTTAATTTAGAAGAAAGACTTAAAATGTAGTCATTTAAAATGTATTTTAGAGTGGAAATTTATCAGTTTATAATAAATAAATCATTATACTTAAGTACCTGATAGTGTATAAAGGAAATAAGCTCTAAATACGCCTACAACTAACCGCCTACATTCCATTAAGATAGATTTTTAAAACAGAAGGATGGGTCCATAATTATGTACTTGGATCCAACAAAAATACCCGTTTCTTATTAAATATTTTAATTACTACTTTTCTAGAAAGTTATATATTTTTTTTTGTATAACTTAGCCAATTTAGGACATAATTTAACCATTTAAAGATTCAACTGCCGTCACTTAATCAATTATACAGAATTTTAACGCGTCACGTAATCACAAACAAAAGACAAATCTCTCTTTTTTTTTTCTATTCAAGCTTCAATACGTGTANAGCCATTGCAAACTGACCATGTAATATTCATATCTTACATTATATTTTTAAAATTAAAACAACTAAATTACATACCTGTCGTGCCATATCAATGAATGCCAGCAATTTTTTTATTCCAACCCAAACTCTATTTTACATAAAAATTGTCATTAAGAATTACAATAAACCATCTATATATCATATGCAAAACAACTATTCATTACATACCTGCATCCATCAATTTTTCTGGCAATTCTTCCTAGTTCATCTCTATTAAAGCAATCAGTTTCTTCAAGTACAGCCATCAAATGCTCTGGATAGGATAAATTAGGGACATGGAGTACAGACATAAATGCAGGCAACATTTCCATTTCTTCTAAAACTTGTTTACGACTAGATGTACATAAAACCAGTAATTTTCTTCCCTAAAATTTAGTTGATAATTAACAAAGTTTTAATCAAAATTATTTGAATGATCTTATCATTTAATATAAAATTTAAATAATAATAATTTAATTAAAATAAACATTGATAACAAACACAGTAGGACCTCACCAAACACCACCAATATGTTCCAAGACACCTTGTGTAAACTGAAATTCACATAAAATAGCAAACCCCATACTTGATACTCAAGTATTTCCTATACTAACATGCCTATCACACATTTTTTAATGCAATGTAAGTCACATTGTTTAGTTCAAAACAAAGAAATGAGTCATAGTAACACTTTTTCAGAACAAGAATGAGCAAGATGCTGAGATTACATGCATGTTAAAAATGGCATGGATTTAGAGCACAATTAAGAATTTCTATTTTACATATTTTCCTTTTTTTCTTTCTTTTTTTTTTGAATTGCCAATAGTGTAAACCTGAAACCATGTATGATGAATCCATGTAGATTGGGATCCTACTGTATTATAAAAGAAGGATCTTATGTGTATGATATGTAAGCCTATTAAAATAAACTTTATATTCAATTAACATTATACATTTATACATTATCTTCTACATATATATCTATGAATGTTATCTACAGACATTTTTGACAATGATTTATTTGGTGATTATGTATCTTTCTATTATCTGCAGAATAACTATTATACTTTATTGCCTTCTTTCTGGAATAGAAAACAAAATAATATTTGCAGATTTGAATGCTTTTACAGATATATTAATGATATTCATAGTAAAATAGTAGACTCTCCTTAGCATCTATTGTTTGCCTGTAAAAGTTGATGTTAACTGACAGTTGATCTGAACAAATATACAAATTTAACCTCAGAATTAAAGAATAGGAAGCAGAATGTAACTTCATTATACTTAAAAATAATTGATTCAGTATTTAAAATTTTTGCTCTACAAGAGAAAAAATTTAATTGATATCTTTAAGGGTACCATATAAATTAAATCATCTAATTTATGAAATAAATATTTTAAATTGAACTAAAAAAATAAATACAGTCCACAATGGCCATGCCTTATTACTATGCCTTATTACTTAAACACTTGAATTTATCATAATCACATCATTGCAATTTATAAGTCAATGTTTGGTATTAACTATTTAAATTTTTAATTGAAATTATTAGCTTGCTTATGTAATTTACAAAATCATTTAAACTCTAATATTTAACAAGAAATACCTGAGGTGGTTCTTTTTTCAATAGAACCAGTAAAGCTTGTAATACCAAATTTGAGTAACGAGGACCAATTGGACCATAATCTAAATTTAAAAAAAAATTTTTTTAAATGATCATAAGAAATGAATTTGAATAATTAGAAACTTACCTAACAGTCTTTCAATATTGTCAACCAGAATGCAACTTAGTTGTGACTTATAAGCATCATCAAATACCTAATAATGATTTAAAAATAAATGCATCTTTTAACTATACTTCAATTAAATATTTAAAACTGTTCTATTTAACAAAATAAACTTAACTACCTTTTTTATGCACTGACATTTTGCAGTTTCAGTAAAGCCAACCATATCATCTGGTGTACAAAGTTTAATGAATGGAAAATCAGATTTAAGAGCCAGTTTTGCTGCAAGAGCTGTTTTTCCACAATTTGGTGGACCTAAAATTATTTTATTTGTATTAGTACAGTAGAAGCTGTTAAGCTATCAGAATGAGTGGTGACAGATTAGCCAACATTTTCAAAATTTGATAAGTTATATATGACTTAAACATTGCAGATATTGTTAAACATTCTTTACCAGTGCATGTTGCTTTATGTTTCTGATTTGTTTATACATGTATTTTAATTCAGCTGCAGATAATGGCATGACTATACTGTATTAAAATTGAAAACCGACAAAAACATTAATGAACATGTTATTTCAAAAATCAACATTCACAATGATTCATATGCATATATTTGTTTTCAAGACAAGTACTGTCTATATCAGTGATTCTCAAACTTTTACGATCCACCGCCCCCTTTGTTCCATAAAGTTATACCCAACGCCACCTAACCCATTTTCTCTTGTGTGAGAAAAGGATTGGAAATATTCTTAGGAAAACTTTTCTATAAATCTCACACTTTGTGCCCTTACTGTACATTGTTCTCATCATCTGGAAACCATTAAACGCAATGTTTCCTCTTATCAGCCCCAATTTTGCCTTTGGTCACTGTTCAATACCCTGCCTCTATCATAGATCTATTCATCGCACCAGAAGGGGGCGTTATTGCTTACTTTGAGAAACGCTGAGCTAAAATAAAAGTCAATGTGTTAGAAATATTCAAGTTGTGACCTTCAATAAAAAATATATAAAATGTCAACATTTTATATATATTCCGTTGAATTTTTATATATAGAATTTGTCTGCCATCGCCCCTCTATATTTCCTTAACGCCCCCCAATTCTCTTTGAGCCTTCTACTGCCCCCCTGAAAGCCTCCAGCGCCCACAAGGGGGCATTATCGCCCACTTTGAGAAACGCTGGTCTATATGGTCAATGTTGTAAGTGGTTTTAGTCACTTTTGTAAATATATGTGCTGACTGAAACTTTGTTCTTCAGTTTTTTGCAACTTTTGAGGATCTGCTGAGAGACTCCTTTACACCTTATTTGTGAATGGTAAATGTGCAGATCTTTGCTCAGACATACTTGTTCATCTGATTTCTCATTTTTTTAAGTCTTGGTGATATCCCTCAGTCTTCCTTCAGAAGTCTACTGTCTTTTTTTAAAGAAATTAGATTTCTGAAGTAATCTCTTGAGGGAGTACATCTTTTAGATCAAAATGTGCTTGGCCTGCTTGCTTCTGTCTGTATAATAAATAATAATATACTGTATATGTATGATTCAAAAATAATACACATGTTCCAAATGAGAAACCTGACATACACAGGGTTTGGTAATCTGATGGTCAAATATTACCAGAAAATCTTAATTGGCTATCAAAAGATTAAAAGTAGTAGCCAACAAAGAACAGGTATTGGTCCAAATCTATTATCCTGGTTACCTGTATCCATGAGTATTCATTGAAAGAATTGTATGTTGTATGAAAAAATAAATTGTAAGTTAGAAAAATTTATTTAAAAAATTATTAGTAAATACCTGTTATAATTTATCTTATTACTTTTTAAACCAATGAAGTTTCAGATGAGTTAAAATCATTGATTTTGAAAGGATTAGATAAAATTATAAAATCAAGTTTTTTAAAAAACTGATGGTTATTTAATTAAAATCACTCTTAAAATTTTAAATAAGACACTTTAGCACAGCATTTCTCAAACTTCTTGCTCACACAACCCAATATATTTGTAATGGTTCCATGATCCAAATGTTCACAATATAAAATTTGTAAAAACCTGGTAAAATGAAGTTACTGTATATTATATAACAAAATAAAATTATAATTATTATTGATGATAATTTCTACATGTGAAACATAACATTGAGTACATTTCTAATAAGAGTGGTTCGAGCCAATTTTGATTTGTAACAAGAAACTTTCTTTAATTTCAGATTTTATTATTGAAATTTAACTGTTGAAAAATGTAATACTGATAATTGTAAATAAAATTTTAACATGACCCAATATTGGGTCATGACCCATAGTTTGAAAAATACTGCTTTAGTATGTAAAAACGTTTTTCTGATTATAAGCCTTGTAATTATAATTTAATTCATATATATATATAATGCATATATATATTATATACATATATATATGCATTAAATTATAATTACAAGGCTTATAATATATATATATAGTTAATTCACAATACTCTACAGCGTTCAGATTTGTTCAAATTTTTCGTTTTTGATGTTCGATCCAGCTGATTTACCTGAAGAAGAACCCAGAAGGGGTTAAGAAAACGTTCGTTTTGGAAGATTAAACTCTATACAAACCGGTTATACAGTGGTACCTCAGGATACAAAATTAGTCCATTCTGAAACTGAGATCATATCATAAAAATGTCGTAAGGTGAATCATTTTTCCCCCATACGATTACATGTAAAACCAAATAATTCGTTCCAACACGAAAAACACACTCAAATTAAAGCTAAGAAGTATTGAAAAAAAATAACTATAGTAAGGAAAACACTGAAAATGCATTTTGTAGTTGTAAATGTATAAATATAAATAACCATAATAGAATAATAACTTTACCTTTGGGGATAGACAACAGTGGAGGTGTAAACTGGTGGCAGAAGAGAGGGAGAAGGGAAATGATACTAAAACTTAACTTACATAACATAATGTAACAATAACTTAAAAATAACTTAGAAAAGATTTTAAAAATTAGTGTTGTTTTATATATATTTTTTTAAATTTTTATTCACTGCTTTTTGCTTTCTTTCCTTCACTTCTACCAGCACTTTCACTGGATAGAGGTCGCTTGGTAAAATATCTATCCAAAGAGGTTTGGCTTTGCCTACTTTTTAAAATGTTTCTAAAATGACTTAGGCAAATATTATTACTCTGAGCAGCAATACAGCCAGTGTGAACCTTTTCGGGATGTTTCTTTTCAATATAATCAGTCACTTTCTGATAATACCTGAAGATTTCCTTTATCGAGCAAGATCCTTCCACGACGAAGCAAACACACAGACTGAGACCAATGAACAGAAGTGAATAAAAAATGGCACTGCAAACTAATATAACGTTGTATGGTGAGTTTTTGTTCGTATCGTGGAGCAAAAAATATGTTCAAATTTCATGTCGTATCCTGAAAATTTTGTATGCTGGGGTGTTCATATCCTGAGGTACCACTGTAGGTTCAAGTAGGTCATATTTTGCTAATTCACAATATTTATTAGAATAAATAAATGTTTAAAATCTGATAATGCTGTGCAACTATGCAATGCATCAATGGTTGATGGATATGAGCAACAGTTCTCAAGATGGTATCATCTATATTAAACTATGTCCTACTAATTTATTATTTTCCCAGTTCTGTTATATATAATAGAGGAAAAATATAGCAATCAGTCAAAAAATGACCTCCCCAAGATTTTTACATTTTTGTACTCAGACCTTGAAACATTGAGAAAATGCAAAAAACTTTGGAGTTTTTTTTCTGTATATATGTATAGATTGATGTTAGTGTGAATGTGTGCATGTGCATGCATGGGGTACAGTTTTGTTCATTTTCTTTGAAAGCTTAACTCCTGTGCTTTTTGTCAAAAATTTCTGAAATTTTGCAGGGAGGTTTGTGTATTAGGGGATTAATGCTATTAAATTTTAGTAGTTAAAGGTTGACAGAGTGCTGAGATAGAGATCATGTGTCATATCTTGGGCAGGGTCAAACTTAATGATAATTTTATTAAAAAATTTAAATGCTAAAAACAAATAAAACTTCATCCCTACCCTCAAAATTAAATATAAAATAGCAGAAAATTTAATTTTCTGCTATTTTATAATAACTAAAAATATAAAAAGTTTATTTTAATAAAACATCATAACAGATAATGCCACATAAAAGTTTAAATGTTGCTGGATTTTTTTACTTTTGTTTAACTCTCCACTCTGTGGGTACTAACAAGACCTTTTTTCCCACTGTCCATTATGTTTTTTTTTGCTAGATGCACAGTGGGACAGCAAAATGATGACAGAGGAGAATGGAATAAGGACAACACAAGGAAATTTATACATTAATTAATTAAATGATATGATATTAAACAATATTGAGAAAACAAGCATAAAACATTTTGTGCTTGATAATGCAATAGACATATAGTTCAATTCATCTCTTCATAAGAAATATGTATGGGTATAATTCATAGTTACTCTTAATTAACAGGCTGTTATTGTTAACAGTAAACATTAATTAATAAATTCAAAGCTTCAAAAGGTGTGAACATATTACAGCATTTTACTTTTCCTTTTTTGTTCATTGGATAAACTTTTTGGTTACATTAACAATAATAAATCCAGCTACCAAATATTTTGCTCTAGCAGCCAACTGGATAGTAAAAAATTTTTGATTTTTTTAACCTTGCACATAGCAACATGCACAGCTACAGAGACATCACATCTTCTCTTCAATTTCTGCACACCACATATCCAAAAAATTCCAATTTGTAAAATACTAGCAACCATGCTGCAGGATCATTATATGACAATGCTGGATTACTGGATATTATGAATTATTGGTTAACAGATTAATAAATTGCTACTATATATAAAAAATATCTATTTCTCAATCCTTTGAACAGAAATGTAATTAGATAAAATTTAAATAAAAATATTTTTTTACATATTTGCTTTTTATTTTGTATATTTATTATTTTTATAATTATCAGTAGTAATATAGACATTATGAAAGCATTCAATATTAATAAAATGTTCTTTAAGAATAAAATTATAATTTTTTTAATACTAATAAATTTTTAGATTTATTTATTTCTAAATGTCTACTTATTGTTTTATATTTTCTAAAAAAAAAATAAAACTATATGTACTGTAATAGTCTTTTAAACAGATATACAGGTAGGCCTCCTACATTGCAGTACCTTTACAACTTGTTTTCGCTCCAACGCGGTTGGAAAAATGCAGAAATTTTCTTACAACACAGTTTATGATATTTAGAAATGAATTATCTTTCACATAACAGAAAAATCTCAACGGATCCCTTAATACGCGCCACAGTTTGGTGTACAGAGCTAAATGTCCTGGAAAACAGCTGTTTGTCCATGTTGACGTGTTATTCCCATGAAAGTTTCAGGGAAAGACCAGTTTCTAGACAGATGTGCATCAGTTACCATAAACACTCAAATATATCACTGAATTTTCGATAATTTATACTCTTTCAATAGGTGGGGACTGAAAAAATGGTCCAAAATACAGTAATAAACTTCTATTGGATGTATATTTTTAACAACATAGTGAAGGGAAGTTATTTTTTGCGATTTTTACTGTCCACAAAACTGCTTGAAAAAATTTTAGCCATAACAATGTTGAATGAAAAGAAAGAACGGTTGTTAGAAATGAAATTTATTAATATATCTCTTAAAACAAAGATAGAAATTTTGGATCGAGAGATAGCTGATATTGGTAGGCATTTTAATTTAAATGAGTCAACTATTCGGTCGATTAAGCAATAGGAAGAAAAGATTAGGAATTCAGTCGCATCCGGATCATCTATTCTTGCGAAAAATGTTGCTTGTCCGACAGCACCTATAATGAAAAAAAAAGGACAAAAATGGAACAAGCGCTAATATTATGGGTAGAAGATATGAACAAGAAACGGTTGCCTTTAAATAAAAGTGCAGTTAAACACAAAGCCTTAAAAATATTTGATTATTTAAAACAAATGGGACAGTC